GACTTTTCAGCAAACACCACTGTGTTAAAAAAAAACTCAGACAGGCAAACGTGCTGATTATAGACTCTTAATAAATCTACAATGGTAAAATAAAAGCCTACAATATAGTATAAACAAATACATGGCCAGGTAACAGCACATAAAACTGCATATAACACCTAATGTAGTGCTATTTCTGCTCATGCCCTTCAAAACCTTGAACAGTGAAGAAGGTTGCTGTTATAATCAGAGAGAGAAAAAAAGCTGACCAGTGATCCTTATCGTTTTCTATTCCTCCCTTGAGCTTAATCATCCCAAGCTAATGCATTTGACCAGTGGAATCCATACAGGAGCATATAGGAAAGTTCAGAGTTCCATCTGTTTTCCATATGAGTTTAAGGCCTTTAATGTATGACTTCATCATACGCAAGAGCTATATAGCAATCCGTTACCCTGCATCTTTTTTAATTACCATTAGGCCGCTATTTCATTGCACTGTTTCATCTGCAGATGGTTGCACTTTGCTTGTTAAATGTTTAGCACAACCAAAAAACGTCTGATCTTAAAGCAGTTAAATTGTTAGTCCAACATCTTTTGTAACTATGAAATATATAAGGAACTTCTCTTGGAAAGTTTTTCTTTTCATATCATAATGAAGTCTAATGTCTATCTATCCGCTTGTTAAGTTGTGACGTCGTGAATCACAATGTACACAACATCTCTGGACTTGCTGCATCACAAACAACGGATAGTCACAAACTCAAACTGTTGTAGTTAAGTCATGTCGTTTTTAAGTCATATTGTTTTTTGGGAAAGTTCTAAAGAATTAATGCTTTGTCATAATATGTTTTACTTTGTTTTCAAGATATATTTTCTAATAAAACACCATTATTTGGACTTCAATGCTGTATCTTATTCTTTTTCTCTTTTGTCTTTCAGTATCCTGTAGGCAATTACTGAAAATAAACTTATTTTAATGCTATTTATTCTTTGAAAGAGCAATGGCCAAACATTTACTATGAGATAAATAGGATTACACTGTACAAGAACCCTTGTAATGATTTGCCCAGTCCTATTGTAAAGAGAGAACATTCTCTATTTTCTGAATGAGACTGAATTAAACTCTTTTGGTTAATATCTATTACTAGGGACTTCTGAATATGCATTTTTGTATATGTGCATATATACAGTTGAAGTCAGAATTATTAGCCCCCCGTTTATTTTTTACCCCAATTTCTGTTTAATGGAGAGATTTTTTCAACACATTTCTGAACATAATAGTTTTAATAACTCATTTCTAAAATTGTATTTATTTTATATTTGCAATGATGACAGTAAATAGTATTTTACTAGATATTTTTCAAGACAATTCTATACAACTTAAAGTGGCATTTAAAGGCTTACCTACAATAATTAAGTTAATTAGACAGGATAGGTTAATTAGGCAAGTTATTGTAATAAAAATATAGCTTAAAGGGGTTAATAATTTTGACCTTAAAATGTTTTTTTTAATTAAAAACTGTTTTTATTCTAGCCAAAATAAACAAATAAGACTTTCTCTGAAAGAAAAAATATTATCAGAAATATTGTGAAAATGTCCTTGCTCTGTTAGACACCATTTTTTTAAATAATAGTAAAAAAAAAACTCAAAGGGGGGCTAATAATTCTGACTTCAACTGTATTTTTTCGCTATAAATTAAAAAAAAACACATGGGTGCAGATTTTCACAGAAATGATTAATACATCTGAATGATTAAAAACAGTTAGTCTTTGCGCATTCCTCATGTCACTTACGATCTGTCACATGTGACCTTCCCAACCTGTCTATGTCAACAAGCAAGGTTGACACTGCCACATGTGAACATGCATTGCAGGAATGGGCCAAGGAGGACATTTTCTATTTATTTCTTCTAGCTGTCTAGAAAAGAACCTTATTTATAAGTTGTGAATGACTGTAAAGCTGCCTAAATATGGATTTTGGCCTATAAGTTGAACCCTATTCACTTTCACTATTCAGTATTCACAATTATATTTTCAGAAAAAGCCTGACATACGTTTACCTCCACTTTAGCTAAATTTAAAACTTTTAGTTCTCATCGGATAAAGAAAAGTAGTTTTTGGATAAATCAAAGCTTTTTTTAACTAAGATAAAATAATGCCATCAGTTCATTCAGTAAAAAACAGCCCTCATCACTTCATTCATTAAAAATGCACTTTCTGTGACCAACAGAATGCACACACTAGCAGTATCAGCACATTTCCAGGAAACAGACTTCAGCCTTTTCTCCACGTACCACTAGATAAGTGATGCTGTGTGATTCAGCTCTCTTCCCATGCTGTCCTTCCTTTGCCCTCCCTTTCCTTTAGACTTAAGGAATAGTTAAGCAGACCGCTTGAACGTTCATGTTACTACTGGAGTAGTGTGGCTTTGAAGATACAATTCTCTGAAAAGAAAAGTGAGTGGTCAACCAATTAGAATTTTTTTTAAATGTGCAATATTGTTTATATTGATGCATTCCTTTTGCTAATCTTTTGTTCATAATACACCTTTGATAATTTTGGCCTCAACTTGACCTGTTTAGATTTCATCGTGAGCGACCATTTGTTTAGTTTCTTCACCTTTTACAACAGCTTCCAACGTCCACAGCTTTACATAATCACTGCAGCCTTGCTTTTGAAAACAAAGATCTGTAAACCACATGAGGACAGATTTACTTGATTAGTTTCGTTCCAACTGCTTCTAAACAGGCCCTTGGTTATCAAAAGTTCTGTTATACAACTGTTATACACTTATTTCAAAACAAAAGCATTTCAAATAAATAAGGGCTCATTCTAACCAGACGCCTCTGCTCTGCTGGCATCTACTCAAGTCAAGGTCAAAAGTAGCACCACCAAAAAGCTTCTTTTGAACAGTACAGTAGCTTCCCGATTGAGTGGAGTTACTATCCGGCTCAGAGTTGTTGACCTCGCACCTCACTGTTCGCATCCCGCAAGCTGACACAGGTCGCTTCCTCTGCACGTGAGACACATGCCCTTTGATGTTATTCACTAACCAGCCGGTGTCAACACAACAGGAGGCTGTTTGTCTGAACAGTTTAACAACAACTGCTGACACAACCAATAGAAGCTGCCTGATCACCATTCACATTTAGGCAATGGATGACTAATACTGTTTTCTGGGATGCCATGTTTTGCCACCTAAACCTTTTGTTTTGCCCCTAGTCAACACATGGTTTTATGGTGGGTTTTTGTTGATCGCATCACAACTTGACGAGAAACACATATTCCTGTGTACACCTGGAGTTTTAATATGTCCCTTTTGACTTTCCGGATTTTTTAAAGGCTTTCAATTTAATATTTTGAAATATCTACAAATCTATATTAAATGATGTGGGTTTGTGTTTGGATCAGGACTCATAGAGAACCATGTTTTAAAATGTTTTTTACTTCAAAAGAAAGTTTTGATCTTAGATAATCCGGTCTGGTTAGTGAACTACAACAACACGTCCTGTAATGTTTACAATTTTGAGTTGTACACAAAGAGTAGCTGGCCTTCAGTAGCTGTACAAATTTGACTACATTATGATGAAATGCTTTTGTTTTTAGAATTGGTCCAAATTGGACAAGCCTCCCTGCAAACACAGATTATTTATTAAAGTTAGTATATGGTTGCAGTTTAGTTCTCATTTAATTACTTTTGGGAACTAAATAAGAATGTTTTAGGAACCCTCTTGATAAAAGATTTTTTGGCACCAAAGATGGCACCTCCCAGAATGTTGAAGGGAGTTTCTTTTTGTAGCAACTTAAACAGAATCTTCAAAAACCTTCTGGACCAACCAACAGAGAATGTTTAGGGAACAAGAATCTAACATTCCCAGAACATTTTATGAGCCAAAAATAATTAGCTTGGTCAAAACTTCCTAAACCCGGTTGCCACAGTATTTAGCACCTGTATCCACTTGTATATGGATGAACAAAAATCTTAATACCAGGTGTAAACATGGTCTTAATGACATAAAAAAACATTTTACATATATTTATAGCTGTTATGTGTACATATATTATTAAATGTAAATGATAAAATATTTTAAATTTATTCTTAGAATTTTTATAACTGATCCAAATGAATAATGCATAGCCTAGAATTAAAATGGGTTGTTCAACCCAAATTTGGGTCAAATATGCACAAACCCAACCTTTAGGTTAAAATGTCATTTAAATATATTACTAAAAGTTTTCCATATGCAATACAAATTTGAAACTTAAAAAACAAAACAATGAAACTTGAAGGTTTTAAACCCCCATAAGACATTTCGCTAATTTATAACAAATGTATGATTATTGAAAAGTTTGAAAACACAATTAAACAGTCTGTTTATATTTTAACGAACTATGTAGGCTAATTGAGAGGTTGGCCAACACCCTCACACCTTTTATTATGATGCGCGCAAGTGAAAACAAATAAATGTCATGCGCATACATTTAAAAGAATGTTGTTAGCTGTGAATGAACACCTCTGAAACGGAATCCAGTGAATCCCTGAGCTCATAACTTGTCTTGACATCAAAGTTACAATAGCAAAATACGTAAAGCTCATCCATCCTCTACACAATCTGCTCACTTCACCCTTTACCTCGCTAATGTAGCACACACATCTTGCGCACTGCGCCCGACCCCTAAGCACACAATTCACACACAAGCAGCGAGCTGTCTGCCTTCTGGAGTATTTCTCTCACAGCGGAAAAGCAACAAATAAGCTGATAACAATCAATGCGATTAATCTCGGTCCACAAAATCATTTATACTATGACAGATGCGGGGACATTAGCCTACGGGACGAGTCCGTTATCTTGCAAGTTCATCCCTTATGAGGCGCTCCGTTCCCTGCGTTTATTGAACGGGTCGGCGTTAGTAACGTCAGCAGCTGAAACCGCGTTTAATTCTGCTGGCTCCGGGAGAAAGCCTCGTCAATGAGCATTTCCCCACCTCACGTTAATATATTTGAGTAAACGTGCACGTACCTGAGATGTGCTCTTTTCGGGCTCCGTGTTTAGTTCCTGATGTGGCGTGTTGAATCCGCTCTGAGCTGAGCATATCTGAGGGAAAGGTTGTGCAGAGGAGAGGGAGAGAACTGAGCTCAAATGTGTCTTGTGTGGGTCGGCTCGGCTGGCGAGGGGAATGGTTCCTCCCAACGTGTGGGTAAACTTTTACTGAGACTGTAACATACCCCACCCACCCTATCCTATCCCATTCCACTGTCACAAAAACCCGTAGACTGAGACCTATTCATGCTGGACATGTGACCATTGAAGACTAACTGTTGATTAACGATAAAATATGCATAAACGTCTAATTACACCTATAAACAGATTAAGTCCTTTTAAGGTTGCTTGGTGGTTTGGACTGTCCCATGATTGCCAGTCTGACAGAAACCAGCCAACAGAAATCAGGAATCAGAAACCTTGGTTTTGGTTTGATATACTCACCGGCCACTTTATTAGGTACACCTTACTAATACCGAGTTGAACCCACTTTTGCCTCCAGAAATGCCTTAATCCTTCGTTGCAGAGATTCAACAAGGTATTTAAAATATTCCTCTGAGATTTTCATCCATATTGACATGACAGCATCACATAGTTGCTGCAGATTTGTTGGCTGCGTGTCCATGATGTGAATCTCCCGTTCCACCACATCCCAAAGGTGCTCTATTGGATTGAGTTCTGGTGACTGTGGAGGCCATTTGAGTACAGTGAACTCATTGTCATGTTCAAGAAACCAATCTGAGATGATCCTCGCTTTATAACATGGTACGTTATCCTGCTGGAAGTAATCATGAGAAGATGGGTACACTGTGGTCATAAAGGGATGGACATGGGCAGCAACAATACTCAGGTAGGCTGTGGCTTGGCACAATGCTCAAATAGTACTAATGGAAGTGTGCCAAGACATTTTACCCACCAGCCTTGTTGATACAAGGCTTTATGGATCCATGCTTTCATGTTGTTGATGCCAAATTCTGGCCCTACCATCCGAAAGTTGCAGCAGAAATCGAGACTCCTAAGACCAGGCAATGTTTTTCCAATCTTCTATTGTCTAATATTGGTGAGCCTGTGCAAATTTTAGCCTCAGTTTCCCTTTCGTAGCTGACAGGAGTGACATCCAGTGTGGTCTTCTGCAGCTGTAGCCCATCTGCCTCAAGGTTGATTGTGTTGTTCATTCAGAGATGCTCTTCTGCATATCTCAGTTGTAACAAGTGGTTATTTGAGTTACTGTTGCCTTTCTATCAGCTTGAACCAGTCTATTTTTTTCTGACTATTCTCTGTAAACCCTAGAGATGGTTGTGCATGAAAATCCCAGTAGATTAGCTGTTTCTGAAATACCAGACCGGACCATCTGGAACCAACAACCATGCCACGTTCAAAGTCACTTAAATCACATTCTCCATTCTGATGCTCGGTTTAAATGCATTGAGTTGCTGTCATGTGATTGACTGATAAAGTGTCAGTAATAAAGTAAATACACAATCATTCTTTCATTCATTTTCTTTTTTCGGCTTAGTCCCTTTATTAATCTGGGGTTGCCACAGTGGAATGAACCGCCAACTTATCCAGCATATGATTTACACAGCAGATGCCCTTCCAGCTGCAACCCATCACTGGGAAACATCCACACACACACACTCATCCACACACATACACTACACACAATTTAGCTTACCTAATTCACCTATAGCTCATGCCTTTGGACTTGTGGGGCAAACTGGAGCATCCAGAGGAAACCCACGCAAACACGGGGAGAACATGCAAACTCCACACAGAAACACCAACTGACCCAGTCAGGACTCGAACCAGTGACCTTATTGCTGTGAGGTAATTGTGCTACCCACTGTGTCACCGTGCTGCCATAAATACACATTTTTAATAATTTTTTTTCATATGTGGGCCAGAAAACCAGTCATATGGGACAGTTTATGGAACTTGAGATGAATGCATTATCTGAAATTAGCTTTCAATTGATGTAGACATTTGTTATAATACGACAATATATGGCTCATATGCAAGTATTAGAAAATCTGGAATCTGGGGTAAAAAAAAAACAAAACAAAAAAAACGTAAAAACTGAAAATCAAGTTGCACATATCTTGATCATAATTTATAGCATACATTTGTTTTTGTAATTTTGACCAATATAATGTATTTTTGCTATTGCTATCTGTGCAACATAAGGTTGATTTTGTGGTTCAGGGTCATATATTTAAATTTGTAGTTGACACTGAAAAAAAAAACATAACTGTATTTCTTACAGTTCTGACTTTCTCTTGCTAGTTTAAACTGCAAGAATATATTTTAACTCCCAATCACAAGAGAATTGTGACAAATTCAGAGCTGAGAGAAATATTCTGAATTTAGTTTTAATTTATAATAAAATTTTGTTGAGTTTTTATTTTGTTGAATCTGAATATTCAGGGTGGAAAAAAATATAAATATATCAATTTATTACAAATAGCAATCTCAGAATTCAGACTTTTTTTTTTACTATAAATTGTAAGAAAAAAATAAGTAGATAAATAAAAGTAAATATAGATAAAAACACATAAAGATTATCTCAAATACTTTAAAATAGAAGGTACCATTTCTTTTGATTTATTACATCTGACTCCCCCTGATGAAACAAATGCTGTTTATCCATTATTTTTATATCAGCAAAAATAAAAAATAAAAACACAATAAGACATCTAAAACCATATAGTCAAGCATAGTGAGTTCATATTGCAGTTCTGTCAACGTTTACAGAAATGTAAAAAGTTTTTACTGCCTTAATACAGCAAGAGACTGCCAAAGAGGAGCCAATAAACAAGTGAGGTCAAAGAGGTGACAATCAAATAAAGTAAGTGCCATCCCATGTGATAAAAAAAGCATGTAAGCTGACAGATTCACCTCCAAATTTGAGAAAAAAAGGTTATAGGTTCAATAATACAGTAGTCATGTAGTGTACAGTAAATACTGTATATATTAGTGTACTTAGTTATTATGTTTTACTCTAAGAATACATTTACATGACAACAATGCAGTAAAATGTAAAATATTGAATTCACTTTGATGAAAGTTTCATGTGTTGTTGACAATGTCTTCAAAATAATCAGAAATAAATGCTGTATTGTGCCATATATATATACATAAACAATATACACCACACCTTTGTAGTCCTGAACATGTTATATGGGTGCACATAATGTCACTGTATTAACAAAATCACATTTTCACAGAGTCACGGAGACAATAATGATATTTTATGATACTTGTTTTCAATTCCTTGCATTTTCAGGCCCCCAAAATACAAGTGTCATACAAACAAAGGTTTTCAGTTTTTAGTTTAAAACATTATTGGGCAACATTTATTCTAATTGATAACACAATGCATTGATTTAAAAAAATGGACCAGAAAACTTTTGTTTTGACTTCTAGTAACTTTTAGTAAATTCCTTAAAGATTACAAAGAGACACTATATAACACGGTAAACTAGGTTTCCTAAAGCAGAAAGCCTGAAATAGTATTTTATTGCAAAACATTGTCCAGTAACATTTGTTCTAATCTTTGAAATCAAAGCATTACTAGTTGTTTGTCCTTCAACAATTCAAGTCAAGTTCCAGGAAAGTGTGGGCTAAAATATTTCCTTGGACGCTTCGTGTAGTTCAGTAGCACACACACACGCGCGCACACACACACAAACACACTCCCCCACCTGAGTGTTTTCGTGGCAGACCATTCACAGATGGAAAGCCATTCGCTTTGAGCAATTTAAAAGCACAAAAAGGCTGACGGATCTAATAATATTGACACAGATGTTACGTATAACAGAATCCACACAATGTTTTTGGAATGGGAGTGGGTTGCTGCGTGCTCCCTTTCTACATCTCATATTGAAATCGCCAGAGTTGATCTGAGCTGCGGTTTACTTGCGTTTCCAGTGAAATCATTAAGTTTGTTTTGTGAGGTCACCCTACACTTACACATCTGCTGAAGAAACTCTGAAGGTCAACCCGCTTCAATGTTTATGATAACTCCAACTGCCTTTAAATTACCTAGTTGCTGCTTATCTGCTTCCTGTAAATCTAGCCATTGTTTAAGTCTGCTTCCCTTCCACTAAAGTTCAGATAAACAGTATTAAGGAAAGTTGTACGAGAGCTTGTACAAGAAGAGGTAGCGTCCGGTCAATCGGTGTCCATTTTACAAAACATAAAATATATGGAGGAATTCCAAGATGTTTTCCTAATAATTGAAGTAAATGTTTGTTTTCCTAGCACACATTGTCAGTCTTGAAGTGAATAATTAATCTGTACAAGTTAAAAAAAATTAAGCAAGTAAAAAATAACTGTTTGTTTTGGTAATTTTAAGCAAAATCTGATCACTTGACTCTGCTCTGGAATGGCAGTCCTTCTCTTATGATGTCAGTTTCATGGCTTGGTCACAATCTGCTTAGCCACACCCCTCCAACTAGTAAAAGATGAGAGAAGGAGTGAAAACTAAACAAAACAAAAAACCCACCCTTCTCATTATTACAATCAAAGACTTGAATGTGTAGAATACACAAGACATGTCACTCATTTAGTTTTGAATGGGGAAAAATATAACAATATGGCGAACGAGTGCCCACAAACTTGTAAACAAAGCGGCCCCTGTCATTTCTGGACCAAGTTCTTCACCAAGTTGTGAATAATTTCTGAAGATCAGACCAATCTGACGAAGCATTATTCAGAGAATGATAATGATTAGCATGGCCATGAATAAGGTTGGTGATGTGATCTCGTTCTTTTGAACATGCATGCACACTAGCTCAGGCAACCTAAAAAAATCCTGATTTTGTTTGATTCAAACTTCTTGAGAAAAAACTAATGAGACAGTAGTTGTTTAATTTTATTGGTGATTCCAAATATGTAATGTAATCATAAGCTTAGCAAACAGTTGGGGAATTTCATGTTTCCCATTCAGACAGAAAGCCTGAGAAGCCCACCGAATATGACCACCGAATAAAATTACTTTGATCAATGAAAAGACTTTGTTACGATTTTGTTGGAAAATGTCATCATTCAAAAGTAATTCCAGTTCATCGAGACTTTAACTTCAGTTGAAGTGTTAACTTACACTGATGAATATATTCGAATATATTTGTCAGAGTATTTTTTATAAATTGAAGCAAACTGTT